ATGCAGTCAGAAAAAAATTAAGTGCGCGAAATTGCAGTAATTATGATGTTGTAATCTCATGAATAATAAGAGTAAATCTGAAAATACGATTTCAAAGAGGCGTAGAGATAAAAAGTCCATTGACTCTCGTATGGTTTATGTAATATAATGGCAAGAAATAATTACGTGGATGTGGATGCATTAAAGGGGCAATGGTTTGGCCGTGATCTGGTTTGACAATGTAGATGAGTTTGTCAGTTTGGTTATTCTCGCGAGAGTAATAGAGATTAATTTTAATACATCAGCGCCTCTTTTACACTGGTGTGACGTAATTTCTTCTTCACCTAGAGAGCTTTGCAAATTTAAGTGCCAAGCACACTTTACATAATTTTCAGTTGATTTCAATTAATCAACTTACTTTTGTGTAAAGTTCTTATTGACTGACTCCCTTGATTGCTCTCAAACCTTGTAATATGAACCTTTAGTAATAACCAGTCATTTTTGTGGTGGATTTTATTTATTTTTATTTGGGTAGTCAGTGAAAGGGATCTTTGTTTGATTGCCAATTTAATTTTTACCTGTGTTTTACAATATTTATGTGTTTTTCCATATGTTGCATGTCAAGCACGATGCAGCCTTTAAAGTAGCTAAACTTATATCACATATTTTGTTATGCAGGGATTGACTTATCTTGGATATCTTGCTCTACAAAGGTGGTTGGCAGAGAATGTAGGCCGTTGACATAATCATAATATTATCTATATCGTCACTGAAATATTTGTAGATCGTATAAGCATCGCCAGGTTTTGTTGTGCATTCTCCTTGTTTCTCTTTTATTTGACAGTAAGATACATTCTAAAAATGACTTAGTGATTGGACAAAATTTAGTCTGGAATCTTGAAGTCCCAGTGCTTTTTGGAAGTGATTTGTTTATGTATTTATTTATGTTTTGTAGCATTATATCATATCAGGACGTATCGCTTGGTACATTATAACGAGACATTGAATAGCACTAATTATAGGTTTTCAGCTTCTAATTTTCATTGCTGATAATATGTCTCTTCCTGTTCGAAAAATAGTAGACATTTCTGTATTTTGTTTGTTTAAAGTCTATGGTATGGCGTCTCTCACCAGGGAGAATCTGTCCCAGCAAGTTTTCTGTTGTTTTTTATTTCTTGTAATCACACCATGTGCATTGCTAGGATATTATCATATTAGAGCAACAATTGGTGAACCATAGTGGGGTTGTAGTTGTCATCCGCCAATATATTGAGATTGTGCCAGATTATTATCATATAGTTTTACATAAAATATTTTACTCCTTAAGCCACAAACAAGTTAGCATCTATATATGCTGCTATTCAGAAATTATCATATAAATTGGGCAGTGCTTGAAGGCAGCGAACTAAGTTCTTACAAACTGCAAAATGCCCACCGCATTAAATTTCCAGCATATTATCATTTTATTAGCGTCCTTCTTGGACTTTGCATAGAAAGTAAACTGATCACCCATTTTTTTTTTAAATGAACTGAAGCAACAAATGAAAGGAAAAAGGAAGTTACTTTTATGTTAACGAGATCTGTGCTTATGCTGCTTTATACACGATCCATCTGACATTGTATTTTATGGACCGAAGTTAGAAAAACCATACATACTAAAATATTAAGGAAGACAGCTGGAGCAGAATTCCTACTTGCTAAACAGCTTCCTGCAATGCCGCAGCGGGCAATCACGAAGACTGCCAATACCTTCACCAATGACTAACTCATTTATCAGATCTTTAAAGATCAGACGCTCAATGTCCAAAACTAAAGCTGGAACCTCACCACCGTAACTCACCCAATCATCTTGATACATCATGTCTGCTGTCAGGAGTCTGTTCATTTCATCTTCTTCATCATCAAGACTGCAGTCCTGTATCCTGCAAACACGGTCCATCTCGATATACACTTCTTTCAACAGCACCTGTGGACTAGTCATTTTGTTCCCTGATGTAAACAATCCGCCTGAGGTGATCTTTCGGACAAGTATTTCATCCACCATATCAAAAGTAATTTTTCTCTCTATTCTTTTGTTGTTCAACTGTATCATATCACTCTTTGGGCTGATTGCCTCTGTTTGCTCGAGGACATGAAACATGTTAGGGTTTATCAGATGGCGTGAGGAAAGGAGCTGATCAGCAGGTGAAATGATGCTCGGGCCTTTGAGGAGTCCTGATGTCAGTAGTATCCGGTTGATATATTTGTGATCTGGGTTGTGGCTCTGGTATAATAGTGCATTGTGATCCACAGCCATTGCACCAGGCTTGGTCGACAATGTAAGCTCTTGAACTGAGTTTCTGAAGTTCTCCAACTTATGGTTGTCCATATGAGCATGATTTGGTCTTTTGCAGTTTGTTAAATGATTTGGATTCTCGAGATGCCATTCTGCTTCATCTGGACATGCAGTCTCGTCTGCTATATTCAGTTTGAATCGAGCCAAAGAGTTAATTAGTCATATGATTAAATCACAATTCTATCATGTACAAGTGAACAGGAAAATCTGTAAGTTGTGCCTACTGATCCCTCTAATATATTATTGTTTTGCGAGTTTTGTTGATTTTTACGTTGAAACAGAGAGATAAGCAACACAGGTGGTATAACATATCCTCTATTGCTTTACCAATGAGCCTTGTCTAGTTATCACTTATCAAAATATATATATACTTACGAGAGTTCAGCTATTTTTTAATGAAGTACTCCTGATGTTAGAAAGAGCTTCCTAATTTTGCCTACATTTTGAATTGCATCATCTCTTGATATATTTCGAAATTCAAATGGATCTGACCCTTGTTTTAGTGATTTAAGCAACCCGGCGCAAATGCTTGACTTTTAACTGAATGAAGGAAGTGAAAATAATATTTGATGCTTGAGTGGTTACTTCTGAAATAGACTGATTCTCAGAGCATACAACAATACCTTGAAACACCGTTGATATCTTCTTCACTGGAGATGGTGAATCTTCACTGTAAAATGTATTATCAAGAACTGAGATTGGACTTGGTTGTTCCGAAATTGTTGTTACTGGTTCTACTGCAGGCATGTCTTCTCTAATCATTGACACAGAATTCTGAGGACATAAAAAGTACACGAGTTAGCTAATGAGAAACAACTAACTGAAGGCTGCAACTGCATAATGTAATATATATTTAACATACCTCTTTTTGTGCAGCATCTGTATTGACTAAATGTACCAGGTCTATAACCTCTGTTGCTGCCTGTGAGACTTGGCTGTTGTTGCTTTCTGACGCTACAGAAGCTGTGTCGTGCTGATAGCTCGAATGCCTCGTCTCACTGCTAAGCTCACCCAAGTGCTCATCACTAAACTGCATATCCTTTGGTTTTACTTTGTATTTTCTGTTCCGAGAATCTTTTTCCGTAAGATTCTTTCTGCTACGATTTTTTACCTGGGCTGAGTCTGGTGATGGGGTGGTGGGTGGAGATTGTCGTTCCATCCTGAGTACATCATGTTGCAATCTTGGGTTCACCACTACCTTCTTGCGCCGAGACCCCACCATAGTTCCATCTAGTTCTGAAGCTCCCCGAGAAGTCTTTTTGTCCGTAGAAAATATTTTGTTCTTGGATGTGAGCACTTTTGGTTCTGGCCTGGTAACTGAATTTTCCAAGTAATACTTGGAGTTTCGTGTCCGGATTTCTTGCTTATTTGGAATTGGAAATCTGACGTTTTCCATCACCTTGGCTGGTTTGATTATTAGAACGGACGAGCCTAATTGCTTTGGATTGCAATGTCCCTTGATGGTAAGAACTCGGTTGTTACTTTTTCTCTGTAATGTGCATTGTATAGGCTCTTCCGTTCTGTCTTCTAACCGCTCTCTTGTTTTCTGCATTGCTTCGAGTATATGTTTAAGAGCTCTGAGATCCTTACCCGACTTCTGGAATTGAAGTTCTGTTATCCTCTTCTCGATTTCACCATAGACCGAAGAAGATATGCTTTGGCTGTTAGTTGGAGCTCTCCTTTTGTCTATGGCTACTTTCGCAGAACCTTGGCTTGCATCTTGTTGCCTCCACGGAGCTGGTTCAATAGGAATTCTTGAACACGTATTCGTTTTCCTAACAAAATTTGCACCATGAAATCTTGGGGATGGTGAGGCCGGGTCGTTTTGAGGAAATCGAGGGGAATAATAACTAGCTTGATTTTGAGGTGTTAAGGATGAGTTCTCAAGGATATCTTCTTTAGGACATGATTTTGTTGTTGGGGTCCTATTCTCATCTGTGGTGGGGTCCGGGAAATTTTCAAGACCCATCAGCTTTGCCACGATGCTGGATGTCCGGTTGTGCCCGGTATTCTCGTTCTCCACATGCGGGTCCTGGTCGAGGAAATTCCTTCTCGACTCGTGGGCCGAACACTTCTTCATGGAACTAGCTTTGCTGTCCAACGACAGCCTCGGGAGTTCTTTGTGCTTCGCCGCGGCCCACCTGAGCCCATCCCTCGATTCTCTCCCGTCGTAAGAAAAACGAGGAAGGCCAATTGACGGCCGCTCGTCCTTTGAGATTCTTGTGATTTCGTGGGCCCCAGCAAGAACTCGACTGGATCCTTCGGATATTATGTTCGGTTTTGGTGTTTTGGGTTTGGATTGGGGTGGGGGCCTGGGAGAGTCTACATGCTTCATCGCGGTGCCTTTCTTTTCATCTTTAGGTGCTCGGGGTTTGATTGACAAGCCACGGGCTTCCCGATACATTGAATCTTTCACTACATCACGAAGGTCGAGGGATTGTGACTCTTTAGTGGGCGTGATCGGGAATGGGCTTTCGGGTCTATTTTTCTGTCTGAGTGGAAGTGTTTCAGGCTGGGCTATTCCGTTGAAATCGAGGGACGATGAGAATGTGGATGTACAGGAAGATGTATAGGAGGCCCGGGATGATTCGGTGGAGTTTCTGGGTTTCTCCTTATGCGACTCGCGAGCTTTTTCCTGCAAATGTAAAGTTTTCCTTTTCAACTACCTCTGTAAAAATTTGATAAATTACCACTCTGAATTTTTACCATGAACATAATTTTTTTTTTTTTTCCTTTTTCACAGAAAAGAGAAGGGAAAAAGGTATGCCTGGGATCTTACGGTGATGGCGCTGGTTGCATGCTGGGGTTCCAGTTGGTGTTGTGTACCTTGAAGAACACAAAAGGTGCAGTAATTTAGCAAGAGGACGAGTAAATGATTAATCTTAATCATAATTATAATTGTCTCCTTTCATGAATGTTTGCAGTTGATCTAATATAGCTGCATTTCGAGCACTTATCATGGTTGATCCTGTGTTTAAGTGCGAAACATAATATGCTTTCGAAAATTTATACCTATCAGAATAATGACAGTCTCTTAATTAAAGGATCAAATGCAGAATGGAATTGGATGTGGTAAAAAGTAGTCTTGTGATCAACCTGATTGATAAAGAATATTATGCAAAGTGTGAGTCAAAAAATGTGATTATCTTCACTTTACTATTTTTATATATATTTTTTTTCAAATTCTGTTTTTCACTATAAATTATAAATTTCCTAGTATTCTCTCTAAGATGAGAACCCAAGCAATGACAGCCTGATATTATTTTATTTTCCTGTCACATAGCAATTATCTAATTTGTTCTTTAATATGAAAAAAAATCAGGTCTTGGAAAATTACATACCTTGAAGCAGCCTTTTATGTTGGTGGCCGCCCACACGCCGCCCGGTAAGCAAATGGTGGCGGTCAAAGAGTTGTAAAATGCCGTTCATGCAACCGATCTGTTTTCTCAGGTCTTTGTTCTCATCTCTTAACGAACTCATTGTTTTTGCAGACATATCTTTAATATACCCCCTTCCTTTTTTCTCCGAAATAGAGAAAAGCGAAAAAATCCGGCTCGTATCTTGTGACACTGTCAATGAGTTCTATTGATCCCAACGCTTTTCAGGTTCTGCATTAAGCCCAAGAATCTGCACAGATTTAAGAATTCGAGTCAGTTTGCGACGTGAACACATGCAGATCGATGTAAATTCTAATATGCGTACGAGAATATTTTCGACTAGTCTTGTCAAGAAAAGTTTAAACATACAGGTTTATGAGCAAAAAAAAAAAAGAAAAAAAAGAAAGAAAGAAAGAAAAAGAACTCAGATAGCAATATAGCACTTACTAGTTACTAGGGAGTTGTAAATCATTTGCTTGATGGTCTCAAATGTTCATAAAAATGATGGCTGTTACAAAATTCTAGTAACAATGGCTGTTACAAAACTGTGAATGAATGGAAGATCAAGAAGAAGTGTTTTCCTTTTGCACTCTCCTTTTTGTTTTGTACTTTTTCATTTGCTGCTGGTGTAGTATATGGAGGTTAGAGGTTTTGAGGGAATTTATAAATGATTTATAGATCCAAGCACTTGTACATATTTTAATTTGTTTAATGATGAGAATAATGTGGGCCCAGGATGTGAATATGTAGGCCATGGCTTTCACTGCTCATTTTCTTACAGGTCCATGTGGACACTGTGAACTGCTGAAAATGGCATGTGGAGTGTATTGGTGCACTGGCAGAACCCTTTTGAGTCTAAACCACTTTTCCAACTGGTAAGTTCCAACCCAATCCTCTAAAAAGCAACATGAATATTTTTCCAGAAAGATTATTATTATTATTATTATTATTATTATTATTATTATTATTATTATTATTATTATTATTATTATTATTATTATTATTATTATTATTTTA